ACAACCTCGCGCTTTGCTCCCGCAGGGCGCCGCCGCGGCTACTTTGTAGCGGGTTCGGGGCCGGCCCGCCTGCGGCTGCGGGAGCCCGGCCCGGCCCGACCCGGGGACCCGGGAGTCTGTCGCCGACGTGTGCGGGCTGCAGCGGCCTGAGCTCTACGCGCAGGTAGGTCCCCGTCCTGGGGTGAAAGAAGGGGACTTAGGCCCGGAGCACGTGGCGGGTGGCGACCGGGGTTCCCACGTGTTCGGTTCTAAGGGCCCCAAATTGGCGGACCTTTCGGATAGAGGGAATGCACGTTCCCGGGCTCCCCCCGCACAACAGCTGCTTCCGGTGGGTTTTCCGGAAAGCGCTGAGATCCGGGGGATATTGACGAGGGAGGCGTGCAGGGATCCTAGAGGGAACCCTGTAAAAATCCCAAAAGGCCCTTTCCTGTGCCCTTTTGAGGTTGACATGGTGCCTTAAGAGGCTAACACAGAAGGGTAAAATAAGTCTCCATAAAACCCAGGGAGGAGATTGTAAAACTCCTCTTTGGATCCTGTCTGGAGTCACAGCTGAACCAGAGGAAAGTATTCTTTTGGCTCAAGCACCTTTGTGATTTTTAAAATTTTTGAGAGCGAGCACGTGCACGAGAGAGCGAGGGTGAGCACGCGCAGAGGGAGGAGGGGGGAGGGGCAGAGGGAGCAGCAGACTCCTGCTGAGCAGGGCGTCCAACTCCGGGCTCCCTCCCAGGACCCCGGGATCATGACCTGAGCCCAAGGCAGATGCTTAAGGGACTGAGCCACCCAGGACCCCCTTTGTGATATTTTTATACAGTTCCCAGCACAGTGATAAATTTAAACCTAACCTTAGTTTTGATGATACCTTCAGAGATGCTTATCTTTGAAGGTGGAAAAAAACACAGGTGATGGAACACATGTGCACAAGGCGTTTTCTGGACATCCTTTGAGACAAACTGAAAAGAATATACCTCAAAATTGTTTTCTGCTTGAAAGGTCATTCGGAAATTTTTCTTTTTTATAGGTTGAATACTACAGGTACAGGCCGCGGAAGCTGGAATATTCTGATGCTGGTATTTTTACTGACTTATACCAATTCTCCAGTTTACAGTACACACTAACGAGGTCAAATAGTCTTCCATAACTTGTAGCAGCTATGTGTCCAGTGCGCCCTTCACAGGCCTTAGCAGCAGGACAGTGCTGGTGGTGACCGGGCAGCCTAGCAGGTGTTTTACCTTCATCTTGTCATTCAGTTCTGACAACTCTGAGGTCGGTACTATTCCTTTGTTTTATAGATGAAGCAACAAAGAGGTTAGGTACTGACTCAAGGTCCCGCCACATGTGAGGCCCTGAACAGGGATCCTCGTGTAACTTTCTGGCCATGTGACCTCTTGGAAAGTCACTTCTCTTGGCATTTAATGTTCAATTGGAGCTGTAGTAATATTGAGACAGATGAGGCCAGTTTGGTCAGGGGAGACCACAGCAGAACTATTAAGAATATAAGGTCTTCATAGTATTTAATTACATCAGACCTACGAAGTTACCAAAATTTGGCACAAAGGGGGCATCTGTCAGCATGTTAGGTGTTTTTGATGAATGAGCATAACGAGCTGTGACGGGCTTTAAAGGATACAGGGGTGCTAGATTGTTAGAATATGAAAATCTTCGAGGTGATGGGGGAAGTTTTCATATGGGAAGAAACGAGACAGTGAAGCAAGATGAACAGAGCCTAGTATGTGCTAGTTGTTCATGCTGACCAGCCCTGAATGTCTGCAAATACCTCATTTTCCAGAAGTTTTCAATAAAGATTTAATATTCACCTTGCAGTCACTCTTCATGCTTATTTCATAGCATTGTTCCAGTCTTTCCTTCTAAACTTCATTTTACACTGGTATATTACACTGTAAAATTCAGCCTCATCACTTTTTTAGGTAATTTATTCAACAAATATGTGAGAAGGCCATAATTGCTAGAGGGGAGAAAAGAAGGGAAGGGAAAGAGGAAGCACATGTATATGCACTGAGAGTAGAGGACATGAGCTCAGAGAGGGCTGGGCCAGGGAGGACCAGGGATGCTGTGGGTCTGTATGCATTTGGGTGAGGAACGTTGGGCCAAGTGAAAACAAATAGCCCTGAGGGAGAAGTGTGTAAAGGTTTGGGGGAAAGCAAAGTGAAGCTGCAGAGAAATGACCTGAAGGGGAAGAGGACCGCTTGTATGCAGGGCTAAGATGGATATTTTAACACTATTGTAAATGGTAACTATCTGGCCTCCCAGGTCTCTGAATGCTGTAACGTTTACCTAGGAACGCTCCCTAGCAGCTCCCTAGCACCCATACTCTTTCCTGCTCTTACCCAACTTTTCTGTGGCCACTATCATCCCTCCCCTGACCCCCCATAAGTGCTCTTGTTCTGGAATTCTCTAGCATCCTATAACAGCCTTGTCATATTTAGAAGTCTAGTTTGTGGTTGCCCTGCCCCTGCTTTACTACAGTAAAGTCCACCTTGGTTCCCACCATATTCCTAAGGGCTAATCAAACTGGTGTAATACTGATTCTGGTATATTTGAGCCCTAAACCCATCATGAGTATAATACAAGGAGCAGTATCATTTATAATTAAGCCTCATAATAATATTCGGTTGAATTATATATGGCATTCAAGTGAGTGGCTTACAGCCATCTATTAGAAGCAGCAGAACACTAAAGCTAGGTTCAAGCCCCCACCCTTCCATGTGATCTTAGACCAGTTACTTCGCTTCAGTCTCTGCCTAATCATCAGAGTTACTAAAGTTGAGTCTATACATAGTAATTACCTGGTGAGTAGTAAGCACTCAGTAAATGTCATTCATTGGTAGTACTATAGGATCATTTTTTTAATATTGTATGGTCCTTGTAATAAAATGACAATGCTGGTGTTTAGTATTTATATACTAAAATGCTGGCTTTGGTTTTCATTCAATAAATAGAGCATGTATCATAGGCCAAGTACTGCTCTAGGTTTTGTGACCATATCAGTGAACAAAACGGACAAAAATCCATGTATACTGTTGGCAACTGATTCACTGATAGAGTCCTCCATTGTAAAGACCTGTGAGGCTTCCTTGCTCAGTGCTGGAACTAGTTAGCAAGGTGGAGGATGGGGGCAGAGGGGTGGGGGGTGGTTGGTAGAACAAAAGGCCTGTATGAGGTGACTTCAAATGCTAAGTAGGTAAAGGGAAAGAAAAATGGAGTCCTAAAGCTTCCACAGGCTGCAGCAAGTTCTGGCAGAACAAGGAATTCGTAAAACACTACATCAGCAGTGGTCCAGTGATAATGGGCCAAGAACACGACTGTTTTCTAGCTACTGTTTCAAGGTGTAAAACTACAAGTGCTCAAGTCTGAAGGTTATGGCAGACAGTTGCCAAGAATAACCACTGGTCTCACAAATGGCTCCGCTACACCAAGTCCTAGTGGTGGCTCCTTGCCCCTAGAAGTTCACCTGGGCTGGGTGAACAGGTGGAGACCCTGCGGCTGCCATGGATCCTCCCTCTCCCACTACCAAACCTCAACCAGTGCAGCTCAGTTTACACTTTGGTTTTCCAGTTTTATTTAAGATTTTATTTATTTGTCAGAGAGAGAGCACAAGCAGGGGGAGCAGCAGGCAGAGCGAGAAGCAGGCTCTCTGCTGAGCAAGGAGCCCGATGTGGGACTTGATCCCAGAACCATCATGACCCGAGCTGAAGGCAGACCCTTAACCAACTGAGCCACCCAGAGGTCCCTGTAGAAAGGGTTTTGATGCTAAAAAGTTTGAAGTCCATTAGACTAAACAATAGCAGGTGAAAGATGGAAGCAGTCTTTTTTTTTTTTTCCTTTTAAAGATTTTATTTATTTATTTGAGAGAGAGAATGAGACAGAGAGAGAGAGCACGAGATGGGGGAGGGTCAGAGGGAGAAGCAGGCTCCCCGCCGAGCAGGGAGCCCGATGCGGGACTCGATCCAGGGACTCCAGGATCATGACCTGAGCCGAAGGCAGTCGCTTAACCAACTGAGCCACCCAGGTGCCCCAAGATGGAAGCAGTCTTAAGTCCGATACGGAAAAAAAAAAACAAACTTTTTTTTAAGGGGCCTCAGAGTCCAGAATTTAGAACCATAGATACTAGAACTGTGCTGCCCAATATGACAGCCATCAGTCACATGGGGCTATTTAAGTTTAAATCAAAACTGAGTAAGATGAAAAATTCAGCTCCTCAGTTGCATTAGCCACATTTCAAATGCTCGGTAGTCACATGTGGCTAGAAGCTACTGTACTAGACAACAGATACAGAACATCTCCATTACTATAGAAAGTTTCATTGGCAGTACTGTTCCAGAGATTCTATGGGGTTTTATAGAAGAGAAAAACCTACGGTATAGTAGACTGAATAATGACTCCCAAATATAGTCAGGTCCTAATTTCAAACCTGTGTTACTTTATTTGGAAAAGGGTCTTTGCAGATGTGATTAGGTCAAGGTTCTTAAGATGGGAAGATTATCCTGGATAATCTCTGAGCCCTAAATCTAGTCACAAGTGCCTTTATTTAATTAATCTATTAAGTAGGCTCTATGCCCAGCATGAAGCCCAGCGCAGGGCTTGAACTCAAAACAGATCGAGACCTGAGCTGAGATTGAGTCGGGTGCTTAACCAACTGAGCCACCCAGACACCCCCACAAGTGCCTTTATAAGAGGGAGACAGAAGGAGACTGTGCTCAAGGGAGGAGGCCATGAGAAGACAATCGGAAAGAGATTTGATTTTGGCCTTGAAGATTATGGAGCAATACAACTTGAGGCTAGGGGAAGCTGGCAGCCACCTGAAACTCTGGAAGACTCCAGGAATAGATTGAGAGTGTGCACTTGATTTGACCCCGGAAAACTGATTTCTGGCCTCCAAAATTGTGAGAGAATAAATTTCTGTTGTTTTAAGCCACCAAGTTTGCAGTAATTTGTTACAGAGCCAAGCAGCCTGTGGTAACTAATACAGATGGAAAGCTTAAGATCACAAATACAGCTGGAGCTGGAACCCCACCACACTGCCTCCTACGCTGTTTTTATTAGTGCCTTATGGGTGTGTGGGTAGGGGTAGATCTTATCTATTCATTAGTCAATTTTTAAAAAAATTTCAGAGGTATGGCAGTGAAGTTACACTTTAGATTTAAATCATGAGAGAAATGAGCACACAGCTAAAATACGGAGGATTAGCAAATACCTCATAAAACAAAGATGATCAAAACTAATAATAAAAAATCAATTTATGGTTTATTGGGATGTCAATTTATGGTTTATTTATGTATACTTTCAGTGAATTTCATTTACACAGTACAAAGCACCTCCAAAGATCAAGTTGTAAAAACTTAGTAATGAAAACAAATTAAGACAATATGAAAATCATTACTCCAATTATAATTTTTGCCTTGTGGGTCACACAGCTTTGGCCAGCTGGGGCCCAGAGGTAATACAGACCATTAAAATGAGACAGTTTTTCCACAACAACCTCAATTAGTTTTGGCTCCTGTTCCACAAAATGAAAACTTGGATTTCTGGGAGTCTTTTTTTTTTAAGGATTTTTTATTTATTTATTTGACAGAGAGAGCGCACAAGCAGGGCAAGTGGCAGGCAGAGGGAGAAGCAGGCTCTCCGCTGAGCAGGGAGCCCGACGCGGGACTCAACCCTAGCACCCCAAGATCATGACCTGAGCCCAAGGCAGCCGCTTAACCAACTGAGTCACCCGGGCGCCCCATCTGGGAATCTTTTAAACAACAAAAAACCTTAATAGTATAACTAAAAAAACTAGTCTTTTCAGAGACACCACCACAGGGCTCTGACTTAAGTCCTACACAGCAATTTTGGTGTGTCTAAGTTGCAACATATCAGTACTGAATGATGACTGTATCCTGCAGACTGGGAAGGAAAGTGGGGCAAAAACACAAGTTTCTGAATGAGAAGTTCATCCTTTTGAACTCAAAATTTCTTCTTATGGAAAGGAACAGCACATGATTCAAGTAGCTCCTTAAACTAAAATGCTAATGTTCATGGACAAAAACACCTGAAATTGTTCTCTAGGTCTACCCAAATTTATGTAAAATAATTTTTCACCTATTACTTCCATATCTCAACTCTGACATGAATTACCAATGCTTTTTTATTAGTGTTTCAGTAAAACTACCAATTGACTGACCATAATCTAAAGCTATTGGTGGCCGGCTGAATATGCAAGGTAATGCCTTCCCTTTGATGACTGCTTATTAGAGCTGAAGCTTAGGATAGGACCACCACACTCAGTCAGTAGTACACATGGAAAACGTGAAGGTCAAAACTCAGCTTCTTATTGATGAAAAGATTGTGTCTGTTGTTGTTAATGTGTTGCTAATTGCAGTAATGCCTTCCAAAACTCTCTCAATGCATGGCATCTCATTCTCCTGATGAAAGAAGTTAGGAACAAAAGTGAGCTCTATTTGTCTACCCTTTGTACCAAATTCCAGACCCAAACAGTTTATATATAAAAATCTATTTAAAATTGAGATTTAGGGGGTGCCTGGCTGGCTCAGTCGGCTAAGCGGCTGCCTTTGGCTCAGGCCATGATCCCAGGGTCCTGGGATTGAGTCCTGCATCAGGCTCCCTGCTCAGTGGGGAGGCCTGCTTCTCCCTCTCCTTCTGCCTGCTGCTCCCCCTGCTTATGCATGTGTACTCTCTCTCTCTCTCAAATAAATAAATAAGATCTTTTTAAAAACTGAAATTTAGATTACGTAAAGACTGTGAAGTTTTGTGGGCTTTTGACCAAACTCAGGTTCTTATTTGGGGGGTGGGGGGGTGGAAG